CAGGCGGGCGGCGGGGCCGCGGGCCTGCTTGCGTCGACAAGACTACTGGGGGGGAAACGAGCGGGGCGTCGAGGGCAGCGGGCGCCCGGGGCGGCTGCGCCGAGCGCTGGCTGGGCTTGGGGAGGACCGGCAGGCGGTGGGTGGTGGCGCTGCCAACTTGGCTTCTAATGGCTGCATTTTCGGCGAACTGCAGCCGAAAGGATTGTGTGGTTTTGTCCATGTGTGTGTGGATGTATGTGCAAGTGTGTGTGTATGTCTGCGTGTACGTGCGTGCGTGCGTCCGTGCGTGCACATGCACGCGCGCGTTGTGGGCGCTGGCTGCGCGCCACCGCTTACCCGGAAGCCTGTGGCGGTGGGGCACGGCAGCGGCCGGAACGACGCCGGCGGCGCCGCGACGCGCAGCGCCAGCAGGTGCCGCGCCGTCCTGAGGCTCGCCTCCAGCACACCCCCACACGCGTCCGCGCGGAAAGACACCGGCAGGCCCGGCTCCGACGCGTCAACCGAGTAGGCGCCGCGCGGGGTGTGGAGGCTGAGGGCGGCGAGTGGGGTGCTGAGCGGCGGCACGGGGCCGCCAGCCAGCACGAAGCTCGCCTGCGGGCGCATCGGCGACGGCGGGTTGCCGTGGTCGGGGGACGAGCAAGGGGACGCAGGTTAAACCATGGCAAAGGAGGCCGCTGGCGGCAGGGGTTGCATAACGGTTGCGGAGGAGCAGCGGTTGTAGGCAGTCAGTTGGGCAGGCGGCAGGCAGCCGTCAGGGCATGCGATGCAGTGGGTACCTAGTGCTGAGGCCAGCTGCTCCACTGTGGGGTGACGGAGCCGCGAGCCCTGGCAAGTCGGAGCCTGCCTGACCGCAGCGCAGCCCCTCCCTGACAACCTGCGTGCGGCCAGCCATTGCCCAGAAGCCTGGAGGATGCACACCCACATCGTCCCCATCATTGTACCCATGCAAATCCCCTCTGTCCCCTCGCCCATGCCTTCCGGCCCACCGACCTCGCCGTCGGGCGCGACGCCTTGGGCCCAAAGATAGGCAGACGGGAAGGCGCCCCCCCAGTTCTTCTCCGCGTGGGCGTAACCCGACAGAGTGACGGCTTCATCACTCCTGTGTGGACGCGCCTCAGCACCCGCGGGCGCCGGCCGTGGCAGCTGGGGCTGGGGTGGCGGTACGGGGAAGGACCGCGGTACGGCCAGCAGGGTGATGCGCACTGGGGATGCCATGCTCCAAACGTACCTGCGGCGGGGGAAGGGGTACGATGATGTCACACATGGTCACGAACGCAACCACACGCTAGCTCGCGCGCGGTGGGTGTATGCGCGTGTATGCGTGGGTCAGTGTGTGGGTGGTGGGTGTGGTGGGGAGACAGGGGATGCACCAAGAGGGCTGGATTTGTCCAGCAGTCTTTCTAGACTATTGTTCTGGTTGCGTTATTGGACGTGATAGAAACCAAGTGCACACAGCAGCCCCAAGCAGGTCGTCGGTGGCGGCGGCCCCACTACGCCGAAACGTGCGGGCAACCCCCTGACGGTCATCCAGCACGGCCACGGCCCAGGGATGACAGGCGCACCAGTGCAGGCCGGTCAGGGCTCCCAGCACGGGCTCGGCCCAGCCCTCTGGGGAGCTGCCGGGGCCGTGCCACGGCACAATTTGTGAACGGCCGGCGGCCGCCTCCGACTCAATGCGGACCTGCGGATGCGAAAGGACAGCAGAGGGTCAATACACTGCACCCCCAACAAGTTCATCACCCCCCGTTTTCACAACCTCACTCCTCTGCATAGCTGCCGGCGACGGGCTGGCACGCACGCTGCGTTCTGCAGCGGAGCATGCGTTGAGCGGCGGCTCGGGGGGTCGTCGGGTGGATGGAGGCGAGACCCGAAGTGCTGCCACTCAGGCCCAGACGGTCGTCTCTATCCACCGCCGCCACTCAGGCCCAGACCTTCCTGGCCCCAAGAGCCTATCGGCCAAAAGCGATGCTGCTTGCCCGCTGGCAAGCGTGTGCAATGAACAATTATGTTGCTTTCTTCGATTGACCGAGACCTGGGCTCAAAATCTCACAGGAACATCTGCGCCGCCCCACCCCACCTTCAAATCGCCGGCGTCCGCCTCCAAAGACAGCAGCTGCCCCGCAGCTTCCAGCCTGCAGCTGCCGGCCCCGCTCTCCCCGGCGACCGTGAACGCGGGCGCCCCCGGCCCTAGCGGCGGCGCCCTGCTCGGCTGGACCGTCAGGGAGCTGAAATAGAGAGTGCGGGTCGTCGGGGCGGCGGAGGGGTCTGCGGGCTGTAGCATGATGAAGCAGGCGGCTGGGGGGTCTGATGGGCTGATCTGGGCACCCGGCAGGATGTATCCAAGGCCGACGGTCAGCGACGGGCCCGCGCCACTGCCGACGGCGGCGCCGAGCCCGTTTGAGGCCGCCGCGCTGGCCGCAGCGCCGGCGGCGGGGCCGCCAGGCGAGCCGGATGCGGAGGCACGCGTGAACCAGCCTTCAAAGAAAGGGGGGGTCCCTGGGGGGGGGGCAGAACGGGTTTGCGGCGTGGCTGGGCGGCGTGTGGTCTGGGCGGGCCTGGTGAGGACTTGTGTGTCATCGTGAGATGCTTTCATACATGCATGCACCACAGCATGCATCCTACATTGACGACTGCATATGAAACTCTGTGCTGCACGCAATAAACATCTTCATACAGCCACCTGGCGTGTGCGGATCGTATGGGTGTGCGTGGGCCGTGAGCGGCGCTGCCAGCAGCAGGGCAAGCGCTAGAGCCCCTGCTAGAGCGGCTGAGGGCGACATCGCACAAAAGTGCTGTGGTCGAGGGTGAAACACTATTTATTGGTTGTTACAGGGATGACAATGCCGCTGTGACAAATACTCCAGATCCGCGTCAGCGTGGTGATCAAGTAAGGACCAGGGCTAAATTTGTAAATTCCTTAAATTTTCTCAAACTTGATTGCCAGCGCAATCAAGCATGATTTGGGGCTTTGCTACACAACGTCCTGGACGATCGGGTAATCGCGACTGATGCGCAGTTGGTGACTGATGCGCCCACAAGCGGTCCGTGCAGCAGCCGCACGGACACCTGAACCAGATGGTGTCCTCAAGCGATTGAATGCGCATGTGCCCGGCCTGGTGTGCAGGCCGTGCAGTCAGGAGCACTCAAAGCACACTGATGACAGAAGCGCTCCAACAAATGGGCTGACTTGCTCCAGATTGGCTTGCCAGCGTCCGCGCTGCAACTCGGCCTCTGGTGATGTTTGTCACCACATCGCTTTTCTTTGGGGCGAGGGGGCGCTGGTGCCCCTACTGGGCGTGATGGCTGCTGCTGGACCTTGAGTTACAAATCTACTTGACGGGGTGTGGCGTCGCGGCTGGGAGGCCAGCCGTGATGGAGACGCGGCCGTTGGGGCAGGTATGGGGGGGGCAGGTATGGGG